GGGTTTACGATTAGCCACAAAAAGGCACATTATCTGTTTTATCAGAACCCCATACAAAGAGATAAAGGTTCCTAGTTTACCCATGGCGTGTAAATAAATTATTTGGGGTATTGTGTGTCGCTTTTTCGACTGTTTAAACTAAGGAGGACATATTGTGGCCGAATGTGGTTATAAATCAGGGGTTGGTTCATGTGCGTGAGGGTTTTACAGCCGTTACGTAGGCAGATAGATAAGGGAATCAAATGTCATTGAGGAATTGACGAAAATGTTTGATAGCATTTCGGTCGTAATGATACATAAAATACTACTATGTGAAGACATGTTGCGTTGTCTATGTAAAGTAGATTATGATAACTGTTATCTTATACAATGGCTCCTAAAAGCACTTTTAGACCTTATACCTTCTTATAAAAATCTTAAAACTTCCAAAACAGAAACACCCGTTTTGCAAACATTTTTAAAGTTACCCGACCGTTAGCACCTTCTAATATGCGAAAATCACCGGGAGGTTTTACCTTAGCATTAAATTATCAAAAATTTAAATTACAAAGAAAAATTTAATCTTTTTTCCGTACTCTAACATAAAAAGCTCTCACTCTGAGCTCTACTTAAATGAGAGACATGTCAAGTAACATTTTACAGGAAAGCCAGTCCAAATGACAAATTAATGCGTAAAAAAATAATAAATAGGCACATTTTATTGAATAAAATGTTGTCCTTTATAAGTCAACAATAAAAGATATTTCTATAATTAAAATTATAATGTGTGCCGCACAATTCACGTTTTTCAGGTGCTTACATGAAACAGTGAGTTTGTGTTTGTCTCTACCATGATATAAAACATCACCCATAAGCTTCTGAATTAAAAAGAAAGCCATTTTAAGCTTGCAAGAGTGCTGGCCGGATTGAAAAAAAAACCTTTCGATCGGCATTGGGTGCGGAGAGGCGGCCGTGCGGAGCGAGCTTTATCTGCGATCGAAGCCCCGCCCTAGCGGCGGCGCGACGCACCTCGCCTCCGAACCAACATGGCGCCCGTTTATAGACCTAATGAAAACCACTTTAATTAATTCACAGCAATCACATGAGCCATGCACGGCGCAGCTTTTATGTTTATTGTTTCCATATCATTTTAAACCACCAAGTTTGATTTCTCCAGAGTGTCACCGCCATAATGTTTTGTTGGTAAATTGCCGGTGTTTATTATTATTATCTAAGCATTATTATGTAGATGTATTATTTAATAATATTATGCAATCGTTTATTGTCATAATCAACGTGTGGTCCTAAATGATAATGACTTTGCTAATCTTTATGAGTTAAATATTGCCATTGCCTATGATGGCACGGTCATAATAATTTTAATTAGATTTGGCTTTCAGTGTTAATAATAATAACAATATGATTCAAGCTCCCAAGTGGCTAATTTGTTTCGGTACTTTTGTTTGTTTTTGTTTAATTTTGGATAATTTTATTATGTCATTTTTTAAAAGCTTTTAGTTATTTCACATGTCTGGTGTCGTCAAATCTTGCGACTAAAAAAGGGCCCACTTCCCGGTTTCCCATTGAGCTGAAATTTTGAATAAAATTAATTTAATATACCTATCATTAACTTGTTCGTTAAAATTTCGATAATCCCGAAGATCATCTTAGATTACACTATTTTTTATGGGCGGTATTATTGACGAAAGCTACTCACGTATTTAAATAATAACTAGCTTTCCGCCCGCGGCTTCGCCCGCGTGGAATTTTGTCTGTCACAGAAAAACTTTATCGCGCGCGTCCCTGTTTCAAAAACCGGGATAAAAACTATCCTATGTTCTTTCCCGGGACTCAAACTATCTCTATGCCAAATTTCATCAAAATCGGTTGCGAGGTTTAAGCGGGAAAGCGTAACAGACAGACAGACAGACAGAGTTACTTTCGCATTTATAATATTAGTTGGGATTAACAACGCCTATGACAAAGAGCTCGTACTCATATCAAATTCAAATTGCTATAACCCTAGCTGAGGACATTTATTTTGAGTGTGGTCTCCTAAGAGTAGAGGGACCATAACTTGAGCAAAAGATAGAATTTCATTCGGTAATATGATTCGATGTGGGCAGGTCTCCCACTCTATGGTGGTCGCAGTAGCTACAGTCAGCGAAAATAGTTCGTGACATCCAAAGTAGTAAAAAAATGATGATAGTTTAAAGCAAATAAATGATGATTCTGATTCTGAAAAGTTGCCTGAATGCGAGTAGCGTACGACCGGTCGTTGTGGAAATTATTAGGGAATGCCTATGTCCAGCAATGGATGTCATTTGACTGAAGCGAACGAGGTAGAAACTGACAGTATTGTGAGTTTCATTCATCATGCGAGATGATTAGTTTTACTAACCGTCTTCATAAAGGTATACATGGCTCATTTTCAAGAGCTTTATCACAATAAAATTCACGAGAAAAGTTAGAAATCACCAGTCTTTAGTAGGCACAAATGTATTTTTTTAAAAACAAATGCAATTTAAAAACTCAACTTTCTTATTAATACAGTTGTCTCCGCACCCCACAGATCATAGCGACAGTACTCTCTCCCTCGCGGCCATTTGTCGGCGGGCTCTCCCTCAGGGCTCGTTAGCGGCATCCCGCGTCACCGGCTGATTTATTCGCGGCACCTCTTTCTGATACAACTGACACATAAATGTCGCTTTTGTTTCCCTTTACAAGAGATTTAGAGCACGTCTGGCGAGCTGGGAGACGCTTGCTTGGCTCAGTGTAGCGTCATTTGTGTCATTTTAAAAAGATGCCTATTTGATCAACAATGTTTGAAAATTGTTGATGCTCTACAGTTTTTTTTTGTAAAATGGTTAAGTTTCTCTATGTTAGAAGACTACATATTATAAAAACTGATGGATCAATGTGTTAATGTGTTTTACTGAGCAAAAAAAAACACGCTTAAGGTACCTAATTAATAGTAATTAAGTTGGGGTAGATCTCGTTCACCATCTTCCTTCAGTTCCTCAAAGCAGTATTTAGGTCTTGTTTCGATGACTTCCAAATAGGCCAGGACAAAACTTCCCTGTGTTTGTGATTCAAAGTAACTGGTAAAAATGGGTAATCTATTTAGACTCCTTATGCCCGTTTTTACCATCAAGTCCTGATTTTTAAGTGACCCCTATGGTAACAAATAACCTGAATTTTGTTTACGTAGGGGTAAACTTAAAAATTAGGGATTGATGGTGAAAACGGGCATAAGTCTACTAGTGCCCAGCCTGAATCGAACCCGGCGGAACCTCCAAGTACAGGGGGACCCAGAAGAAAGTTCACTTTGGAAAATTCAAGGAAACGAAAACTGTTCATTTTTGTAGAACTTTAACTATTGCAATTTAAAGGAAATTTTGTGCAATTTATTTTAAAATTTACTTTCTTTCATAAAATTTATCGTACAGTCGCGGAATGAAAAGGTTCGTCACCTTAGTGTCGGTTTTCGCTTGCACTAGGTACTGTTAAGAGTCAAACCTGCCAACATAACAGTGCAAGAAACAGTGCTGCTAACATTTAAATAAATATGACGTTTGCTAACGAATAAGCCCCCCTAGTCAAAACGCACTTTTTGATCGAATCGAAAATTGAATCCGTCAAAACTCCATACAAAAAAGGGGCTTTTCGACCACTTTTCGACTGGTTTGCGATTATAATTTGCACTTTGTCTAGACCCAAAGGTTTTGCTTTTTTATTTTTCTATCCCATCAGTGCAATGCAATGATGACATTGACCAATTGACAATAGTTTTTTTTTATTTAAAAGAAATAATAATGGCAGGTTGAACCAACAAGAAGGTTTTAGTTTATCAATCATAATCTTGTTGACAAGATAAATCGTCAAACNATTTTTTCATTAATTTATGAAAATATCAAATTAGCCCGTAATCCTGAATCCTGATACATAAATTGAGCCTATTAATTTAACACATGTACGACTGTACTCAGTGTTGCACTATCAAATGCAATTGACGCGCCTCTATGCCAGGGTTTTTATGTTCCTGGTCAGGCTATACATTATCATAAAATACTACTTTGTGAAGACATGTTGCGTTGTCTATGTAAAGTGGATTAGGATAGCTGTTATCTTATACAATGGCTCCTAAAATCACTTTTAGGCACCTATAGACCTATGTATAAAATCTTAAAACAGAAACACCTATCCCTTTTGAAATAATTTTCAGGTTTCCGGACCTAGTATGTATAAGAAAATCACTGGGAGCTTTTACATTAGCATTAAGTTATCAAAAGTTAAAATAAAAAATAAAAATTTTACTCTTACCCTTAAATAATTGACTCTAACATAAAAAGCTCTGACTCTGACATGTCAAATACCTACATATTTACAGGAAAATATGATGAACGGGATTTTATTAAAGAAAAGTTGCCCTATATAAAAATTATCAGTAATCCAATTCAATTAATTTCTAATGTGTGCTGCACAATACACCCTCTTTTCAGGTGCTTACGTATAACAGTAACGCCCGTATTCACAAACGATGCTTGCTTAAGTGAAGTAGCAAATCAAATGCACAGCGTTGAAAAGAGCTCCGTGATTGGTTCGTGTGTCACCCTATGCATCCACGCGCACTGTGAGACCTTATAGTAATGTTTGTGAATACGGGCGTAAGTTGGTGTTGGTCTCTACCATGAAATAAAACATTACCCACAAGCTTCTGAATTAAAAAGAAAGCCATTTTAAGCTTCCAAGCATTGAAGTAATATTATTATAACTCAATGCTTCCAAGAGTGCTGGCCGGATTGAAAAACAAAACCTTTCGATCGGCATTGGGTGCGGAGAGGCGGCCGTGCGGAGCGAGCTTTATCTGCGATCGAAGCCCCGCCCTAGCGGCGGCGCGACGCACCTCGCCTCCGAACCAACATGGCGCCCGTTTATAGACCTAATGAAAACCACTTTAATTAATTCACAGCAATCACATGAGCCATGCACGCACGGCGCAGCTTTTATGTTTATTGTTTCCATATCATTTTAAACCACCAAGTTTGATTTCTCCAGAGTGTCACCGCCATAATGTTTTGTTGGTAAATTGCCGGTCTTTATTATTATTATCTAAGCATTATTATGTAGATGTACCTATTATTTAATAATATTATGCAATCGTTTATTGTCATAATCAACGTGTGGTCCTAAATGATAATGACTTTGCTAATCTTTATGAGTTAAATATTGTCATTGCCTATGATGGCACGGTCATATTCATTGTAATTAGATTTGGCTTTCAGTGTTAATAATCATAACAATATGATTCAAGCTCCCAAGTGGCTAATTTGTTTCGGTACTTTTGTTTGTTTTGTTAAATGTAAAAAACTAATGCATACCTAATTATCTACGATATATCCCGACTTGAACTCTCTTGATTCAGAGACTCTGAGTTGAACTCACTCGATTCGGAGTTCTGGGTTCGATTTCCTGGGCCATAACTAATGCAAGATCACTTTGTGTATTAGTCTAGTCCTAACCTTAGCTTTTATCAGTTATCTTTGACAAAGGTACCTAGTTACGTCAGTTGTCAAAATTCAAATGATATAAGATCATCCACCTTGGGTTTATTCGTCCAAGTCATCCACGAATAATAAATTCATTCTATTTTCTACCTACCTACAATTAGCTCTTGACGTCTCTAAAACCTTACGTAGCACGAAAAACTTTCGACTTGAAGAACGTATTTTCTTACTATTCGATAACGCAACGACAATGATTGCATTTGAATTTGGATAATTTTATTATGTCATTTATTAAAAGCTTTTAGTTATTTCACATGTCTGGTGTCGTCAATTCTTGCGACTTAAAATTGACCCACTTCCCGGTTTCCCATTGAGCTGAAATTTTGCATTTTGAATAAAATTAATCTAATATACCATTAACTTGTTCGTTAAAATTTCGATAATCCGGAAGATCATCTTAGATTACACATTTTTTTTATGGGCGGGATTATTGACGAAAGCTACTCACTTATTTAAATAATAATTAACAACGCCTATGACAAAGAGAGCTCGTACTCGTATCAAATTCAAATTGCTAAAACCCTAGCTGAGGACATTTATATTTTGAGTGTGGTTATAGTCTCCTAAGAGTAGAGGGACCATAACTTGAGCAAAAGATAGAATTTCATTCGGTAATATGATTCGGTGTGGGCACGTCTCCCACTCTATGGTGGTCGCAGTAGCTACAGTCAGCGTCAAATAGTTCATGACATCCAAAGTAGTAAAAAAATGATGATAGTTTAAAGCAAATAAATGATGATTCTGATTCTGAAAAGTTGCCTGAATGCGAGTAGCGTACGACCGGTCGTTGTGAAAATTATTAGGGAATGCCTATGTCCAGCAATGGATGTCATTTGGCTGAAACGAACGAGGTAGAAACTGACAGTATTGTGAGTTTCATATATCATGCGAGATGATTAGTTTTACTAACCGTCTTCATAGAGGTATACATCGCTCATTTTCAAGAGCTTTATCACGATTCACGAGCAAACTTAGAAATCACCAGTCTTTAGTAGGCTCAAATGTAATTTTTAAAAAACAAATGCAATTTAAAAACTCAACTTTCTTATTAATACAGTTGTCTCCGCACCCTACAGATCATAGCGACAGTACTCTCTCCCTCGCGGCCATTTGTCGGCGGGCTCTCCCTCAGGGCTCGTTAGCGGCATCCCGCGTCACCGGCTGATTTATTCGCGGCACCTCTCTCTGATACAACTGACACATAAATGTCGCTTTTGTTTCCCTTTACCAGAGATTTAGAGCACGTCTGGCGAGCTGGGAGAGACGTGGTGTAGCGTCATTTGTGTCATTTTAAAAGAGGCCTATTTGATCAACAATGTTGGAAAATTGTTGATGCTCTACAATTTTTTTTGTAAAATTTTTGAGTTTCATATATTCTATGTTAGAAGACCACATAAAAACAGGTGATCAATATATTAATGTGGATTACAGAGCAACAGAAACACGCATATGGTACCTAATTAAGTTGGGGTAGATCTCGTTCACCATCTTCCTTCAATTCCTCAAAGCAGTATTTAGGTCTTGTACTAACATCTGAAAATTTTTCTATTATAATATGGTTATACTCGTGTAGCACCCAGTTTCGATGACTTCCAAATAGGCCAGACATAGCTTAATTGGATTGACGACAAAACTTCCCTGTGTTTGTGATTCAAAGAAACTGGTAAAAATGGGTAATCTATTTAGACTCCTTATGCCCGTTTTCAATCCCTTAGTTTTAAGTGACCCCTATGAATATAAAACGAAAAGGAGTCACTCAAAAAATAGGGATTGATGGTGAAAACGGGCATTATTCTATAGTACCCTGCCTGAAACGAACCCGCGGCGGAACCTCCAAGTCCATAAACTCTATTTCTCTTGCCCATAGACCACGGTCAAATCAGAACTTATGATCGTCTGAATTAAAATTGAAGTACCGCAGAATAAGTTAAATTGGGTCTACATATGTAGAGTTAGAGCTACATAAGTACTCGTATGTCCGATTTTTAAATTAGAAAGAAAGACAGAAAACATGTTTATTCAGTATCACATAATTTACAAAATAGAACACCAGCTGCTTGGTGTTACCTGCTCTTTATGTGTCATGACTGAAAATGCACCTGTGTACATAGTTTAATATTCATATAGGTACATTGAACTTGAACGATACGTTGCTGTGGTATCTGTAAATATTTTTCATTTGTTTACCAACCTTATCGACTGAACGGTCGCAAAGTAGCACTAACCTCATAAGCAGGTAGTGCAATTTTTAAGCATGTAGAGTTAATAGGAAATTATACTTGTTAAAAAAAATATAAAAAGATTAGACTGTAATTTTGCGCTACTTAGAAGAATCTTATTGTTTGTCTTGTCTTATTTTTTATCATCGCAAAGGGCTCATGTAAAATATCAAGGAGCAGTAGCTACCTATTCAGTTTTCTTTTTTTTTAAATAGCGTCCCTAAGTTATGCTATTCGTTTAACATAATCATATCGCAATATTAGATAGAGCACAAAATATAGTAACATTATATTTGATTTAAATTACAAATGACCGACTCTTAAATATTTACACAAATAAAATTAACGTGGATGTAAAATGAATTTTTATCTCTACATTAGCCGGACGCTAATTCACTAGGGTATGTTAATGTATATTTGTCTTTAGTTGACTCGTAATGACCCACCAGTGATAAGGCCAGATAACTATTGGGAATGTCAGTCTTCCATTTGTGACACAAGCATCATCATGGCTTCTAAAATACGGGTTTCTGAAGTAAACAAGTTGGATGGGGAACAGTTTGAATGGATGTTCGGGAACGTGGTAGAACTGTGTACGGATGCGGCGGCGCAGGTGCAGAAGAAAAGACCCTTTCAAGACGTGGCAGAGTTATGTAAGGCGTTCGAAGAATATTTGGACAACCTAAGCATTGAGGGTAAGTGAAGCGATTGCTAGACCTCTTTTGTCTAAAACTAAACAAAAAAGTTCGCAGATCTGGAATTGTTGCCTGAATACATTAGGTTTGACGATTCTTATCACAGAAAGAACTTATTTATACCTACATATAGACGACATGGACGATTAATTTGTTGTTTTGGACGACGCAATCTCCGCATTTAATTTCAGACATGATCAAGATGATTTATGAATACTAAAGTTGACATATAATACACTGGACCGCAAAGAAAAAGCTCGGTCAGGTGGTTCTATATTGGCTCACATAAAATTCTAAATCCTATTCTTTGTCTTACTACCGATTTGTGTTCATAATAATCTCTCTTCATAATTTTATTTTTCAAAATTTTTTTTTTCATACATTTTTATTACTACCATCGGAGCTCATAACAGTTAGTAATCATAAATTTTTTATCAATACTGTTACTACCAAGAACCATTTAAAATACATAATTTTTATTTTCAGATCTTTTTTCTTCATAACATTCATTGATCATATTGTTTTAATTAATAATGTTGTNTATCAATGAAAATAACTGATAAAATTTGATTTCTAACGGTCATTTTAACGGTGGGTAATCACTGCACGTAAATCTGTATATTTTTAGTTATTGCCCACCATCATTTCAGTTATTGCCATATGTTAATGTATAGTTATTGCCCAGGGCAATTATTATTAGAGTGTTGCCACCATGCAGTAGCAGTGTTTAAGTTGCTCATTGCTAGACTTGTTTTGCAATTTACAGGCATAAATATTGAAATGGCTTTTAATGTTTCATTTTCAGTATGCCAAAGACTCCAAAAGTTCAATATAGCATAGAAAATTTGCAAAAAGCGATCGAAGCTGTACAAGATGTATCCAACAATTTATCTACAAGATAAATTACTGAAAAATATGGTTTGGCTTGAAAAAATTGATAAAAATTCAAACGCAAATACAAAAAACGAAAATCCTACATTAAATCTACTAGTGAAAATGTTAATTGTAAGGAAATAGATACAACTTTAGGGAAGAATAACCAACAGCTAATTGAACATTCACCACATTGAGCAACCACTTGAACTGATATCAAAGAAGACAAAAAAATAAATACATATAAAATTTAAATTTTTGCGTCATCTATGTTTTGAAGTAGATGATTCTGTCTCTACCGATTCTGACTCATCAACATCAGCTCAAGAAATATTTGATAACATGTATAGTTAATAAGGCCAAACGCAATTTATTTTGAAATTTTGAAGACTGTACTACTAGAATTTAAGTTTATTGTTTTGTTTTGTTTATTTAAAGCCTATTTTGTCATTTTAAAATTGATTATTTTGTTTTAAGATACTGGGCAATTACTGTGCTTTGATGTGGGCAATTAGTGTAAGTAATGGGCAATGACTGTACTTTTTGGAGGATTTTAAATTTATTTTAATATTTTCTAAGTTACGTAAGTTTTAACTAAAAACTGTTAATATTCTGTTTAACAGTTTATTGAGTTATAAGAAAAAAGTCATAAATGGTCCATAATTAAAATACTTTCTTTAATTTTTCATCTCAATGTGTTTGAAATCTTTAAGTGGGCAATAGCTATACGGTTTACCGTACCGAGTTTGAAGCGTTCATGAGCAGACATTGCAGCTGAATATTCAAGTTCTGAATTTGATTATTGATGAATAATAAAATAAATCCTACTAGCTCGATTGATGATTTCATTTAATTTATTTAAACCAGGTTACCTTTAATAATATTTTTTCGTTAGTTTATGAAAATATCAAATTAGCCCGTATTCCTGAATCCTGATACATAAATTTAGCCTATTAATTTAACACAGGTACGACTGTACTCAGTGTTGCACTATCAAATGCAATTGACGCGCCTCTATGCCAGGGTTTTTATGTTCCTGGTCAGGCTATAAAGAGGAAGTTTGGTTTAAATATTAAGCTAAATGAAGTAGGTACAGCTTTATACGTATCACGTTTCATTAAAAAAACCCCTAATTTTATTATTGAAAAGACATGGCGTGTAGTAGGTACCTATTTACCGAGTACTTTCCAGTCTTTGAGTGAAAATGGAACAAATATTTAAAAACCTTCCTCCATCTCAACTTCTTCATTACCTAAAGTTCATAAGTACGAAGAGATTACCAATTATTTTTCCCATGACTCATGAAAATTGCAGACTGGATTGAAATCAGTCAGAGCTATTAACATTAGGTGGGTTTGCCAGATTTACCTGGTCACATGGTAATACGCTATGTATAGTCAATACACTTGGGAAACATTGAATTTATATCATCATAGAAATTGGTGATGGGTTATTAACTTATTACTGTTTATGAATAATTATCAAAACACCTATCTTTATCTATTTTACATGACTTAATAAAGGTAGAGTCAAGCTCTGCAGTTATACATCACGTACATAGGTACTTGTACCTTAACCACAGAATAATAATAAGTACTTACTCCTTAACTTACAATTTAAAAATATTTAAAAGTATGTAAACTTCAAAATAGTTTGAAGATAAGTTTGTGTAGAAAGCAATTTTAATGTTTCCTATACGAAGATAGTGCCAGATCCAGACATAAAATTTTAAGCTACTGCCCATATTCGATAAAATAGAATGAAAATCATATTTTTTTATTGGGTGATTTTACGGAAATATGGGATTTTAAAGAACTCTATACGAAAGAAACCGCAGGTAAAGCCATTATTCAATAATTATTCTTAAAATAAAAATAATATGTACGTGACAGAGATTACTTGAACGTGTGTTTTAATGAACATTGAGATATAAATTTGATAGCGGTTCTTTTTTGATATTTCGTTTATAATGTCGTAAAAATATCGGTAGGTATCGTTTTGTCCAATGAATATGAAATTTTAGATATTTTGGAAGGTAGTAGCTTGAAATTTTTGTTACCTACTTATTTCCTATCAAACTATCTTTTTCTGTAATGTAATTAAAATTGTAAAAGTTTTCTAAAAGCGCTTTTTCAAAGCCTACATGCACATGCAGGATAAGCTATGACAGGGCCAGATAAGTCCAAAATAAACACAGAATTCTATGTTTCTAGCTATACGAGTACATAAAACGAACACTTTTCAAAACTAAAAGTGTAAGTAAGATCAGGCAGGACCGTATTTAGGGGAGGGCAAACGGGGCTACAGCCCCAGTAAAGGTAGGTATGTTCCCGGGAAGATAATTATGATGAAAATCTTACATAGGTACCCGATGGTTTTTAACTTTCTCCTTATTCCTTCCCTTGGACCAAATTCGTCCAAGTTTCTTCACTTCCTTCCACATTGTAAGTTTCAGAGGGTCTTGAAGACTTCTTAGGTAAAAGTACTGTAAGATATACCTACGTTTCTTTTTCAGAAAAAGTAGTGATTTTGAAACTACATCCTGACCTAGCGGGCCGGCTGGCAGCGCAAGGGGAACTAACGAAGGAGTCCAAGCAAGAGCAAAGAAGCGCTGGTCTTAATGACCTCACTGAAGAACAGCGGTTTACTATCAATAATAGCAATGAACGGTAAGTAAGTAAATACTTAAAGAAAACAGTGCAACCATCTAGTACAGTGGTTCCCAAACTTATTTGTCTACTGCCCACTTTGAGAATAAATTCTTTTTTAGCGCCCCCATTTTTGTAGTCAAGAGTCGAGTGCTCAGTCGGTGTCTAAGAGTCCTCCTAGTAGATGAAATTATAAATCGCCTCCGAAGCCTCTACACAATGCCCCGATTTTTTTCCGGAGTCTCTTACCGCCCCCCTTGGCCCCTTTAAGCCTGCAGTGCCCACAAGGGGGCGTTATCGCCCACTTTGGGAAAGACTGATCTAGTACAATGAGCACAAAGCCTAAATAGCGATTTTTCGTCTGTTACTGAAATTGGACAAAAAAATCTGAGGTTCATAGCAAATAGATACTTTTTAAAAAACTCATTAAAACTCATTTATTTCTGTAAATAGGCTTAAAAAAAGCACTTTTACACGTCCCAGTATTAACCCTACCACTGCTTCAGGACAATAAATGGGCCAGTGCTGAGAAGAAGCAGCGCAAGAAACTCAGTCACTATTGTCAGCCTCTTTTTCAAAGGTTTACATGCTTTAAAATGTACAAAGTTATAAATATTTATGCGAGCTAGGCAGTAACGTATCCCAAACATTTTTATCTTTTAAATAATCATCGACTTTATAGTAGCCCTTTTTCATTAAGGTACTTTTAATATGTGCTTTGAATTTATGAATGGGTAGTTCTATAACAGTTTGTGGTAATTTATTAAAGAATTTAATACATTTTCCCATAAATGAATTACCAATCTTATGCAATCTGAAATTTGGAACGGCAAGTTTATTTTTGTTTCTTGTATTAAAGTTATGAAAATCGCTCTTTTTCGTGAATTGCTCTATATTTTTGCGGACATATAAAAGGTTTTCATAAATGAACTGTGAAGCTACTGTCAGTATGTTTATTTCCTTAAAAAAATCTTTCAAGGAAAATGTCCAAGGTTATAAATGGCCCGCACTGCTCTCTTCTGCAGAACAAACACAGTTTCAATGTCCGCGGCTGAGCCCCACAACAATATGCCGTATGACATTATACTATGAAAATAGTTAAAATATACTAGCCTTGCCGTTTCAATAATGTCAGTTAATTGCCTTATCTTTCTCACTGCAAAAGCAGCCGAACTGAGCCTTTTAAAAACATCACCCTCCTTTCTGCAGTTATAAAACGAAGTTGATGGCATGAGAGCCATCTGTATTTAAAATACAAAATTTTTGTATACTGCTGTAAACAGCACATGAATAGGTGTCATTCTTTTAAAGCGTTTCATTACTTCGCCGCTAGGTGTCACTGTTTGCAAGTGTTAATTTTGTAAGATCTTCGATAGAGGGCAGCACTTTCTTGATATGATAATATACATAGTAATTTTGAGACAGTCATTCATTCAGAGGCTGGAAATAATTGTTCCGGGATCAATACCTAATCATGCAATCCTATTTTCAGGTATAAATCCAAATTTGGATTTCCCTTTATAATCTGCGCCAGAGAAAATAAGGTGCAGTCTATAATCAGCGGTCTTCAATCAAGATACAACAGTTCGCGTGAACAAGAAATATACACGGGAATAAATGAAGTCAAGAAGATTTGCAAATTGAGAATACAAGACATTGTAAAAGATGACTAAATTGATTATTTGACATACTGTTATAAAAATTCATTGTTTATAAATAGTACCTCTCTTTCTTTAAATAATCTTTGTTATAGCCACAGAAAATAAAACCGAACCACTAAAGTTGGAGTTGAGAGTTTATTAAAAAATGTTCCAGAAGAATTACAGAAATATGAACCTAAATCTATCTTATTTATAAGAGTCCCAGAGACCTTTCCACTACAGCATGAGGCTGTCCGGCAACCTCGCACAAGTCTTGAGTGTTGAGGATGTCTTCAAAGCCAATGTCCAGATACTTTCCAGTCAGTACATCGTGTTGTAAGTTGGAACTGGGCAAAAATGGTAAACGGCCAACCTGGAACATGAAATAAATAATATTTATAACGAGACATAGTATGCCTAAATTGAATCAAAGGATTGTGAGGTTTCTTTATTAAATTATAACAACATAACATAGGTTAATTTGTTATGTTATGTTGTTATAATTTTATTAAAGAAACCTCATCTGTGCATGTAAAAGAATGAAATGGTTTTGAAACCCACACAATGGTTTTGTATTTTCTATTTTATACTGTTTAGTAGATTCAATAATTCATATTATTGATCAGTATGTAGGCTCATAGAGGGAACTATTACATGTCCCAAACATAACTTGCCTTACCACAGTTCAGGACAACATATCCAGATGAGAAGTGGGAAATCAAACTCAGTAAAAAGTACACAATATAGTAAATTAATACACACCTTACTGGAATACTTCTTCTCCATTGTAAGCTTCAGAGGCGCATGGAGACCTTGGATATTGCGGAGCATGGCCATGTTCATCTTTTCTTCATTCAGATGGTACTGAAATCGGGAAAAGGGTACAGTTATTATACCTTAAATATTTCTCAAGCTTATAGGTACACAGTTATCTTAATTGTTTGTAAAATACATTGGAGTATAAACAATATTGCTAAATTAGAAAGAGGCAAAGGTGATAATTATGTCATAGTACAAATAGGTATATTCTGTTAAGTAAATAAATAAAAGAAAACAGACAGTATTCGAGAACTGTTTTAGTAGATGCTATTGTCAATTTTCAACTTACATTCTTTTCTGAAGTCTGAAGGGGATGGGAAACACCGATTTTTAGTTTAGTAGCTCCGATACCCGCAACCATAGGATCGGGAACCCCGAAGATTCCTTCTTTGGGCTTAACGACCTCAACATGCTCTGGCTTTACTTTAACTGAGGGCAGTCCGAAACTCTGAAATTCAATGTAAGATTATGAGTCGGAACATAAACAAGTAAAATCAAAAGATGATAGTCATTGTTGCTTTTTCGATGTAACCTAAAATTACACTTACCATTTTGAAATTGTTTTACAGTTATCTACACTCAATGAAAATGCTTTAAATTGTAGTTTCTTGGTTGGCTACAATGTATATTTGGATGTGAAATCGAGTAAATATTCTCAGAAACCCTGATGCCGCAGGTTCGCTTGGTTTTTGTGAAATTGATGAATGAATAATGAATAGGCACAACTGTCATCTGTCAGTGCCAAGTGATAACTGTCAAAGTAAAAGGTTGGTTATTTTAACGTTTATCAGATAAAGTACACAATAACGCAGGTTTTGTTAATTTTCGTTAATTTTTAGAAAGACTATAGTTATTTGATTTTTTTCAGACCATGGGAAGTAAACTGAAGGTCTAGAAAAAATTATTTTTAACTAAACGTTGAAATAAAAAGTGTGAAGGACATGTGACAGCGGACTGTCAATGTCAAAGCAGTGTTGCCACATTACTTTTCTCTATGGTTGCCACCTTTCAAAAATTTTTTTCACTAGTTTTGGTCTGAAATTTCACCTGATTTACGTATTATGTATTTACAAAATAACTCACCAGATTTCATAGGTAATTTTTTTGCCAAATTGAGTTAAGTATTTGAATTTAATTGTGCGTCGTCGATGTTGGACTTTTTTAATTAAAAAATTGCCTATTTAGAATTGCTTCCAATAGTAGTAATTCATCAGCCGGGAGTTAACTGGAAAAGTTTTTCTTCATTAACTTTAACTAATTTCTATTTCCAAAATAGGTAATTTTTACTCGGCGGTGTATATTTTACTTTAACCAGGATCTAAAACACAACATTCGGACGGAAAAATCACATGAAGTAATCAAATAATTTTTTAGAGATTTTTTTTCAGAATATCACTCCATCCATCCCTAAAATTCACTAGATCTAGTGAAAAATCACTAAGGTGGTAACACTGGTCAAAAGTTGTCAAATGTCAAATCACGATACGTTCAGAAACTAAAACAAAAAAAAGTTTCTAACCAAAAAGGTTAACTGCTGATTCCTATAGGTGGCGCTGATAGAGGGATAGGTAAAATTTTTTTCAGAACCCTTAACTAAAACCTAAAACCTCAAAACAATTTTATTTTACGTAGCAAAGTTTGACTAAAAATTTGTCGTTTTCATTGCTCGTGTTGCGCGTGTTAATTGCAGCAGCTAAAATTGTGTAAAATTGTGAACCCATCGGCCAGTTTACAAACCTTGTTGTTTTTGAGTAATTTACTCAAAATTACTGTGTCAGGTGTCAATGTCAGAGTAAATATATTAAGGTCAATGCTAATATGGGTCAATGGTGTCAGTTAGCCAACGGACTCAACGCAATTGAATTTTTTCAACCGTCATCTTTATTTTTATTTTGTTGGATTTTAAAGTAAAACGAGAAAATGGCTGGCCGCGGTGGTGCAAAGAAAGAACTGGTAAGTAAAAATGTGGCTTCCTCTTACGAGTGGAAAACCCACTTATTACATTGTTAGGGATTATCCCGCTAGAAACGTTCAAGTTCTGCCTTTTTCTGCAAAGGCAGAGCATGCACATATATTTTACAACGACCAAATCGGTTTATTACGCCTGCTAAATTCAGGTAATCCAAAAACCAAAAACTAAATATCAAATAAATATTTGATGATAATAATCAATCATTGTATGCTTTTGGGATACAATCCACTTCATAGCAATAGCAATACCTACTTTTTTTAATTCAATGCATGCAGTTTCTTTATTTAATCTGTTCCAGGATCCCGAGGAGCAGATGAAGCGCAAGTTTCGCGCCAAATGTTTGTTCCGCGCGCTCGGGCGCCTTGTCATGGCGAACACGTACTGGCTGGCAGAAGCAGTCGATCATTACGAGGGCGTGGAAGACGTGAAGCGGAGAGTTGAGCAGGCTGTGCGAGGGAAAGCCAAAAAGAAGCAGCTTTTGAATATAAATGTACGATATCTAGCTCAGAAATACCTAAGTAACTTAACCGTACCTACCTATTTCTTTGACAACCATCAAATATTTTACTTGCAAAGTTGGTAATACCACAGTAATACAGAAATTCAGTTGTAAGCCTCAAAATCTTCTGTTGCTTTTAATACAGCCAAGAGGTCTGTCTTTTATGACGATGTATCATATACGCATGTTTGCTGAACTATGAATATATGCATGATTTACCAACTTTGATATCTTTATGGTAGTTGAACTATCAGCTTTACTTAATGAAATTATTTTCAGGACAAAGCCCTTTTGAATAAGCACGCTGAAGAACGAACAGACCAAGAGAAAAAGTATATCTACCGTATAATTGGCGGCTTGAAATGCTTCAAGCGATATCCCAATGTAAGCTAAAGCTATTTTGATTCAGTTATTTTGTTTTCGTAGTGAAATAATGATCAAAAACCTTTAAACTTGATAAACAAAGGCCTCTAAAGTTCTCCGACAAAGGTCTGTCTAAACGCCGAGGTTGTAATTAGAGGTATTCATTTATTATTCAGGAGCCTAAAATATTGTGTGATAAACAACATCAGTCTGCTACTAAATTAATAGTATCGTTACCTAATGATTTGTTATCAAGGAATAAATAATAATTATTAGAAAGGACAATGACCAAAAATGTATAGAGTGTGGTCCAAATGTCCACCACTAACGAGACCTATGTAGTAAAATAGTCTACTAAATACTGATTCATTATAACCAAACCGCAATTAAAAATATGCTGTCAGTAAAAAGTTATGACTGAATGAAAAGTCTGTTTTTTACCTTTTCATCCGAAAAATGTTCTTGATATCAATCTATCCATTGCACATTTTGGACTAATCTACGCATGTTATGTCATGTCGTATGTGGCGCGGGATTAAAGATGAACTTTATTAAATATTATATTATACTAGCTGTGCCTACGACTTTGTACGCGTGAGAATTGTTAGAATAATGTTTCCCATTTTTACAACATTTGTCTTTACTGCTCCGCCCCTATTGGTTGTTGGGTTATGTTATTTATCTTAAAACCATCCTTGATAAATGGGCTATCCATAACAAAAATAATTTTTCAAATCGGACCAGTAGTTCCTGAGATTAGCGCGTAAACTACTACATTTTTTCAAACAGTCATAACTTTTTACTGACAGCTTATTTTTTTTTGGTCCCATACTGAAAGTTTATCTCTATTTAATGGACTATAAGCCAATATAGGTCTCATTGGTGGTGGACATTTGGACCACTTTTGGTCATTGTCCTTTAATGGGTTCAAGAATATGATAGGAGTTCAGGAATTATTATTATTTTAGCGCTGAAGCCAAATTTTATTTGAAATTAGTCTGCTACTTCCGATACAGAGTGGCCTACAGGTAGTATAGATTAGACGATTGCGGACTGTACAAGACACGAAACATTCAACTCATCTAGTCTTTTATAGCATGTGAAAAAGAAATTGGCGGCAGTAACGTACTTCAAGTACTACAGCCCCGGGCGGACTATAGTCCGGCAGCACCACGAGGCTCACGCTTTGTACTTCATCGTCACTGGTGACGTAGTCGTCAGCCAGATGATATTCGACGAGCTCCTGCAGAAGTATGTGTCGGTGGACATTGGCGTGATGCATCAGGGAGACATGTTCGGAGAAGTCTCCCTACTGCATAATATTCCGAGAACTGCGACTGTAACTACGACTGGTTAATATTAATCTTTTTATACTAGTATCGTAGAAAACGGTTTATGGCAGCCAAAGCTGTAAGAATTTTTTTGGGAGAGATTTTCAGTAAGTATTCTTATATTTTCAACGGGCACTGGAACTAAATAATACTTATTGTGGATAAAAGAAATAAGGAGTACAATAATGTAATTAGAAGATATTTAAGAAAATAAGCTAGGTATCTTTCGGCAGTATTTCGTTGAGCTCTAAGGCTTTCCCAGAATATCCCAAAACATTTATATTTTTGTTATTGTTTACATTTGTGGAAATATTAGCTATTCCTTTAACACTTTCTCGGAATCGGTCGTAATCTTCGATCAAACTGTGATCCGTAGAAACCGATGTCATTGTTTCCCCTGTACCTTCCTTGCGTTGCTAAGGGCACACCAGTAATATTGTTCTTAACTTGTAGGTCACTGTGAGTTGCTGGCTCTGATGAAAGAAGACTTCAAGAATGTTCTTCAAGCATCTGTGCAAAAACAATGGGACGAAGTGCGCGATGCCATGTCCGCTTTTACATACTTTGATGCTCTTGATGAGGTAATTACACAGCATTACACTTAAGATGTACTATATTATTTGAAAGTATTTTCTAGGCACTTATTAATCAAAAGTATTTTCGTCAATAATTAATCATAATTAAGTATTCGCCTAACAAATATAATCAAGNCAGGGAGACATGTTCGGAGAAGTCTCCCTACTGCATAATATTCCGAGAACTGCGACTGTAACTACGACTGGTTAATATGAATCTTTTATACTAGTATCGTAGAAAACGGTTTATGGCAGCCAAAGCTGTAAGAATTTTTTTGGGAGAGATTTTCAGTATTCTTACATTTTCAACGGGCACCGGAACTAAATAATATTGTGGATAAAAGAAATAAGGAGTAGGTACAATAATGTAATTAGAAGATAAGAAAATAAGCGCGGTATCTTTCATAAGTATTTCGTTGAGCTCTATTACAGCTAAGCAGCTAAGGCTTTTCCAGAAAATCCCAAAACCTTGATGTTTTCTACCTACTTTAGATATTTCCACAAATGTTTACATTTATAAATATAAGCTATTCCTTTCACACTTACTCGGAATCGGTCGTAATCTTCGATCAAACTGTGATCCGTAGAAACCGATGTTTATTGTTTCCCTGTACCTTCCTTGCGTCGCTAAGGGCATGTCAGTAGCCTTGTTCTTAACTTGTAGGTCACTGTGAGTTGCTGGCTCTGATGAAAGAAGACTTCAAGAATGTTCTCCAAGCATCTGTGCAAAAACAATGGGACGAAGTGCGCGATGCCATGTCCGCTTTTACATACTTTGATGCACTTGATGAGGTAATTACACAGCATTACACACTGAGGTAATTACAAAGTATTTTCTAGTCACTTATTAATCAAAAGTATTTTCGTCAATAATTAATCATAATTAAGTATTCGCCTAACAAATATAATAAGGAGAGGACGATGAATTAGGAAGCGTAAGCCATAATAAATTCTTTTCTCTTTGATCAATAGGTCGCTCGGCGTGAAGGTTGTATAGTCGCAAAGATGAAATCGTACGAGCCAAACGAAACCCTCCTCGGTGATGGCGTGGGAGTGGCCAATTTCGTCTACTTTATATTGTCAGGGCGATGTCAGATGATTGAAACCGTTCAAGTGGTCGTCACCACCCACTTGGGCAAGAGTTACTACGCGCTTTATGATCCATATGTAAGCACTTTTTTGTTACATAATTGATTTCGTCTTTAGGTGCTGATGAACTGGCGGTTGACCATGGAGACTTCGAAACTCAATTCGCTCAAACACTAAGTGATAGTAGAATGTAGGAAGTCTGCCGGAATTCAAGCCCAAATGTTTTGCAGCTTTTCAAGAATAAACCAGCTTCTATAATTTGACCAACCGCTTTCTATCGTCTTATGGCGTTATTTCTATTGTAATAAATCTTGACTATTCTTGACTTGTCCTACATAGGTTCCGAAGGAAGAAAGCGAGCAGGACTTCGACCAAAAATACTTTGGAGCGTACAAAAATTTGAACAAGGAGAGTAAGGAATCTCGCCCTTCTACGGCTAGCGAGCAAGAGGGCCCAGCACCAGATGAGGTGCCTAGGACGTCTAGCATTTTGAAACAAAAGAAATCGACCAGCGTACAGGCAGATCAGGCTGAACCGGCAGAAAAAAGGGCCAGTGACAATAGTGAATCTTCCAATATGTTCTCGATGAAATCTCAAGTTTTGTTTCAACCTTCAGAGCAGACTCGTCCATCAGTAAGGTAAAAACAACAAACTAAACTGCGTAAACATGAAAAGACAGAAACAAGGCAATCTAATTTGTTCACAGATTGAGCGTTATTCCTGAAGTTCAAGAGAAGCCGGCAAATCTTCGGACTTATTTCATGCAGGTTCAGATTTCTTATCTTATTTTCTGAAAATCATCCCGAGGTGTTTCATTTGTAGAAATAAATTAATCATATACAAAGTAGCTTAAAGTGTTGCTAAGCGCAAAACTCAATAACGGGTTCGGGCAACTTTTTTTTCCAAATATTCTTTGAAGTCCGAAAATGGTTATGAAAAGGAAAATTTTAAAGTTCCTTTGAACATAAAAACTAAAATTCATGGGAGCAAAATCGCGAGAGAGAAAAAAGTTGGTTGGTTCATTGATTTGTAACAGATTTGGCATCTAAGAAATTTTCAGGTGTGTCAACTGAATCCCGGATCCAGTTTTGGTTTCGGGGAGAACATGCGGGATCGCAGGATCGTTGCGCTAACTCCAGTGGACTGCATGCTGTTGCCTAAAATATGGCTGCTGCAGCGAAATACCGCAAATATTTGGACCCGTATCCAACATTATTTGGAAAAGAAGGTGAGATGAACTAGCCACAAAAGGTAATGTATTTCACAGCTAAACTTTTAACATGTACTCATGCAAATTTTGATGCTAGTAAATATGTATAGCCAAACATTTGTTTAAGTTAGTCTAAACTAAACATATATAATTTTGGTCTAACATTAAAACCCGGTATATTAAGCAACTTACCTGTGTTTGTTATTACTAGTAATCTAGTAATGTATTCGCATTAACTTACTAAAGGATTTAATTTAGTATCGATTCTAAATCGAATGCTAATGCTACAATCGTTTATTCTGCGCGTGAGCTCATTTGCCGTTAGATAGGTGAATAGCTAATTACGGCCTCCCACTTCAGTCGGTTAATGACACAAGTCAGTATGTTAACCGTAAAGCCTTAATTTAAAACAGTGGGCTTAGATCCAACTCGCCTTATGTTGGCAGAATTAAGATAAACATCTGAAAATATCAGTAAATCATTCGCGGATTCAAAGTCTTATGGCACTTTTATTTCAAGCTCAGTATGATAGAGCCGTATCTAAATTAGGATATAGGATGGACGTAGAGGAGCAATCGTGATTAAATACATAATAAATAATAACAAGTGATGAATCGTCTAGTGTTGAGGCTGTGATTCTTTCTTGGGAATTAGTAGGATTTACTTCCAGATAGTTCAACTATCAGATTTTTCTATGTAAATTCAGTTCTAATGTTAAAGTGGAGCTCTTTACTTTGAGCATAAATATTGACACAGCACACTTAATACGTTATTAGTTTTTACATGTAAATAACTAACTTCGCCCTACCGGTAATGACGTCATAATAAGTGAGGTAATTCCAATACTTTTCCATTCAGATCCCAACAAAGAAGCAGCTGTTCAAAGACTTCGTGGCGCACCGCCGCTGGCAGGAGTTCCGCGAGCAGATGGTGACTGACGTCATCTCCAGGTCCAACACCGTCAACTGGACCTCCGTGCATGACGTGCCGTATTCCATCAGGATGGAGGAGATGCTTGACATTTGAAATATATTGTTTTATAATTCTATTGCACTGAAGTAAACTTTCGGTGTTTATTATTGGGCTTAGATGCTTCAGATTTGTTGATTTATGTGCGCTTTGTTAATTAAACCAAATATACATTTGTTATTTTTTTTCTGTATTTTATTGAGAACAGTTAGTTATCCCAATAACTTGAGAGAAGTTGGCAATTCATTGATAGTTCATTTATAGTCCAGTCAATAAAGCATTATAGATGGAAATCCGTGGAACACAATTTTTGACTTCGGGACTTTATTTAGACTAGTTAGGAGGTGAACATAGCAAAAGTCCCCGCCCTTTGCCCTTGAGCCACCGGGGAGAGGGGGGTTTAAAGGTACCACTTTTCGGTTTTTCGCTTAATCCTCGGAAACTATGCGTCCTAGTGACATGACTACTATGAAGAAAAAAAAGCTTATTCAATTTGCTACAGGTGAGATAGTCAAGTTTTTCTATATCTTGTACAGTTTTCGCGGCATCTGCTCTAGAAGGTCTGTAATATTGGAAATTTGATTTTTGGCTTACATGTTTCCATCAGGAGAAAATCGACTAAATCAACATTGAGCTAATATTCTAGACATGCGGGAGTATGTTAAGCCTAGTTCCAGGGAGGGGACTGCACCGTGCGTATATTTAGACGAACCAATTGGAGCCACTTTTGACTCACTCAAAAACTACTGTGCATTAACACTTCAAATTTGGCTCATGTGTTCAGACTTGCAAGATAAACATCAGCTTCAAATTTCATAAACATACCTCAAACGGTTCTTTAGGTATTGACGTCCAAAAATCTACATGTCTGACCTATAAGACCAAATTCTAACCACTTCCACATGACCTTGAAGGTTCAAATTTGGCATCCAGATAGTTAGTTGTGTAAATACAAAGGAACAAATAAAAATCCAGTAAATTTTAACATTTTACAGGGGATAGATAGATTTTAGTGTCCTAAATGTCGATTTTAGAACGTCAATACCTACATAACCGTTTGAAGNTCCTAGAGATTTCTCCCGTTGGCGTATAATATCATGGGAATCATACAAAAAATGATTATTATGTAGATATTATGTTACGATAGCCAAATGAAATACAAGACAACTTACCCCTTGTAACTTGTTGGGTACAGGATAGCAAACAGAATTGCCAAACTTTCGGCAGGTCGGTACCACTTCTGAATTGTTGAAATACTCCAGGATATGTATTGAAACCACGTACTTTGAACTCAATATTCTTATTTCGAATAATCACATTTTACAATCGCATCAAAACGTAATCCGCCATCGTATGCTCGAGCGTCAGTGTTGCCATCCACGTATTTACTTTTTCCACTAATTTTGGGGTTGCCCGCTCGAACATGCGATTTACAAAGCAAATAAGATTTACAGAATAATTATATCACATTTAATGCTAACAGAAGTATATTTATGAAATTTGAAGCTGATGTTTATCTTGCAAGTCTCAACACATGAGCCTAATTTGAAGTGTTAATGCACAGTGCTTTTTGAGTGATGAGGAGTCAAAAGTGGCTCCAATTAGTTCGTCTAAATATACGCACGATGCAGTCCCCTCCCTGGAACTAGGCTTAACATGCTCCCGCATGTCTATAATATTTGCTTAATGTTGATTTAGTCGATTTTCTCCTGATGGGAACATGTAAGACCAAATCAAAATTTCCAATATTACAGACCTTCGAGAGCAAATGCCGCGAAAGCTATACAAGATATAGAAAAACTTGACTGTCTCACTTGTAGCAAATTGAATAAGCTATTTTTTGTTCATAGTAGCCATGTCACTAGGACGCATAGTTTCCGAGGATTAAGCGAAAAACCGAAAAGTGGTACCTTTAAACCCCCCTCTCCCCGCCGGCTTAAGGGCTAAGGGCGGGGACTTTTACTATGTTCACCTCCTAACTAGTCTAAATAAAGTCCCGAGGTCAGAAATTGTGTTCCAGGGATTTCTCTCTACACCGTCGTTAAAGCATTCATTGACTGGACTATAAAGAAAAGTAGTCGAATCTAAACACGTTTTTTACCTAGGGTAGTATTGATTATGTCACTATTATTTGCAGCTGAGGCTTTTATCCCAATAGCTTGAGAGAAGTTGGCAATTCATTGATAGGTTTTTTTTAAAGAATAGTAGTCTCTCCAAAAAATCAAAGTGAAAGGAAAGGAAAACACGTTTTTTACCTAGGTAGTATTGATTATGTCACTATTATTTTGCAACTGAGGCTTTGCAAAATTATCTACACTGGTAGCTTGCAAACTTGCCGATTGCTCATTGTTACCCATATTAGGGTTGTTAAAATATGCTGCTTCGATTTTGCGAAGGCGGAAGAGGCCGACGCATTCTGTAGGCGAACACAATCTTGACGTTTCTCAGCCAGTTGGAGTCATCATCATCATCGTTATAGTAAAAGAATAAACAACTTGAAAACATTTTAATTTGAACGGGTTTTAGCAAACTTATTTTTAGAAATACAAGTGCATGACGTAGTCAAAGATTTTAATGCAAATGGTATTCAAATTAAACTACGGATGTTCTCTGGCTGGGTCAATAGCTCACCGAAATTCGTTAGCTGTCTGACAAGTCACGCAATCAATTCAATCATTTTCTTGTTAGATATCTAAATAGTATGTAAANTCCATATCTGTGGGGGATTGCCTGTCAGTTCCACTCCTGTTATTTCTGCTCTCTGTCGCAAACCAATAGGAAGTTTTCACTAATGTCAGTCGCCGCGTCACCAGTAATTCGATTCGATCGGAAAATGGCAGCCAAAATGCACATTGAACCACCAACGACGCGGCGACATAAAAGTTCATTCAAAATCAAATAAAAGTTTTCTTTTTTTTTTTAATTAGTTTNAAAAAAAAAAAGGGTCAATCTATTCATTGACAGTTTCTGATTTCTTGATTCAGTGATTTATTTTTAAAGGAATATTGCGCCAAAGAATAATGTTCGTCACTTAAAACCGTGTTGTTGCTTAATTTTGTGTCTGTTTATAGCTGAATTTGTTTGGAAAAAAATATATTTTTTTAACTACATTGTTTAGCTATCAAGAATTTATATTTAATAGTCAATGTTTGCATTTATTGTCGTATTGTGATATTGTCATCTCCACCTTGTATACATTTTTTCAAAATTTTTGATGCGCGAGGCCCCTTGTACCGCGAGGCCGTAGGCGGTGGCCCACGTCGCCTACGCCTTACGCCGCCACTGCAGTGGGGCGCCACCGTCAATACCGGATCGCTGGTTCAGATTTTTGCCATGTTGGAAACCATATAGTTGAACGATGGTAGCGCCCCCCTGTCATTGAGTTTGGCGGGACAGTTCAGCGTGGGTCATCTATAAACGGTTTTTTGAATCGTAGTTAAAATAACCAATGGTCAAATTTGACAGATGTCAAATGACAAGTGGTTAAATATTAGAAAAAAATGTTTTTCGAACAATGGTTAGCTTGACTTTTAATACATTTTTAAACTATTAGTTAACATTTTGTTAATATTTAACCATTAGTAGCAAAATAAAGGACAATGGGCAAAATGGTACCCGGCTCCAATAGATATGTGTCTAGTATCGTTTGAAAGGTCTTACCAAGATGAACAACTTTTACTATGACCACCAGCCTCAGATCTGGTTGTGTACGAAGATATAAGGGAGAGTCCGCTAATTTGGACCAGTTTTTTTCAATCCCATTTTACACATAGTTTTCTTTTGTTTTTGCTAATGTCCATGGTATATAATAAAAGATACATTATTCAACTTACTATTTCATAAGTATTAATTAACATGATTGTTGTATATTTAGCACAAATCAACAAAGTACGAGTTCAGAGCTTCGGTCCAATTTAGCCAACCGGTTCGATAATTTGTACCACAGGGTTACTAAATTGGATTTAAATAAATTTCAAGCCTATAACAAACCTATGGCAAAATATTATACGATACATTCTTAACAAATTAGGAAACGAAAAGGAACAGTAGTTAATAACATAGACAATCGATATTGTTTTACACGTTAATATCACGATTTTGAGTACAAGTTTTGTAATTCCAATTATCGTAACGCACACTTGTACCTAATCTACTTTGGCAGTCTTTTGCTTTCATTTATTGTTAGTCAAACATAACTACGCTATTATACCTTCAAAATATGATTTACTAAAAAAATTTTCAAAATCCTTTGGTAAAGTTCCATACAACTTGATGTGGTACAATTTAGCCGACTAGGTGATAGTGCTTTTTAAAAAAATCGGTAAAAAATATAGCTGATAAATACCGAAAAATGTTTCAAATAATTGTAATCCACACTAATTTACGCTTCTAAATAATATATTAGAAACACCCTGTGATTAAATTTAACAAAATTACAAACTAAACATGTATTGTCAAAAGTTACTTGAAAACAATGAAAAAATACTTCTCAAAATAAAACACTCGTGTTCGTTGTCACGGCAAAAACCACATGGCCGATATTAATTGATTTTAGTCGTGTATCGCTGGGTGTTGCAATTACAGACATTCAATAAATACTTTACTAATTAAGAGGGTGGTACAATTTACCCGGCGGTACAATATACCGAACTCTCCCCTACATACTTTTTTGCAGAATGGTACCCGGCTCCAATTGTTATGTTTGTAGTGTCATTTGAAAGGTCTTACCAAGACGAACAACATTTACTATGGCCACCAGCCTCAGATCTGGTTGCGTTCGAAGATAAAGATACTTTTTGTGTAACCTAAGTATCATACAGTATCATATAGACGCGCTCGGGGCAGGGCACCGACGAGATGGTCGGACGCGGTGAGGAAGACGGTGGGCGGGAGTTTGCATCGTGCGGTCCACACAGCTTATGGCCTCAGTCTGTGGAGGAACACTACCTGTGGTCGCAATCCTCATCAGTGAGGGACCGAGGAAGAAGAAGAAGAAGTATCATACGTGTCCATCGTATGGTACTTAGGTTATGCGAGGCAGGAAGGGTTTACTGCTCCAGCATCCTCCCTTAACTCTATAATTATTGATTGTGATATAAATATTTTTATTTTAAAAAGTACTACCCCCTTATTAATAAGAAGTTACACCTAGGAAGAACCTTGGATTAAAATGACATTTC